CGCTAGCGACGGATCGTCGCGCCGACGGCAACGTTGCTGTTGCGGGGCCGGTACTGAGGTGAAGTCTAGCCGGAGAGTGCAGCAGTGTCGACCAGCGGCGGTGTCGTTGTGCAAGGACATTATGGTCGTGCGATATCATTTTTTTTGTTAAAGCTTGTGTAGCTAATTTCTGATTTCGGGATATGGTTTGATTTAAGGTTGGGGGAATGTGGGGGTGCTGACACCCCCCCTGTAAAGTTGTCTGCACCGCGTGGCGCACGTGTCTCGCCCCAGGGCGTTATTTCGGTGGTGACCACCACCGGGCGATAGATGGCGTTGTGTTCGCTCTGAGTACCACTGTTGGTAGAGTGGCAGCGCCGGTGGTGGCCCCTGGCGGAAGGCGGGCCTTGGTGGTGGGCGAGCGTTGAGCGAGCCTCTTCTGCGCGTGGCGGCTGCCGCGAACGGTTGTCTGTAGCGCGGGTCCCCGGTGCTCGGCACCGCGGGCTTCGCGCCGGGGTCCCGCGTGTAAAGTCAGGCGTTGGCGACGCCGCCTTGGGTATGTGCTAGTGTGTGTGTTGGGTGTGTTAGTGTGTGTTTATCATGTTATTGTGTGTTTAGTGTGTCCCTGCGTTATGTTGTTTGTATGGTTTAGTGTTAATTGAAATTGTTGTATCATTCGGCGGACGATATCGTCGTCTAAATTAGTTAATAAATGTATGTATGTGGTGTGCTTGGTACCGATCGTGTCCACTGTGTCCGTTCACTCCGAGAGCGTGGCATGGCGGTGCGCGCGTTCGCCTCGCCGAGACCCCACAGGCTGGAAAAACGTTGCAGAGCAGTCATTGATGTGTTGAAGAAGCCAAGACACCTTGTCTAGTTTTTGTGCAGTAGCGCCGTTCGTTTCGGGATTCGAAACATGCAGCATGGCCAGAAGTGCGGTGAAACGCCGCCTTGACATGACTTTTGGCGGAAGAAGTCCAGAAAGCATTTTAGTCGTACTCCAGTACAAATTTAGACGCGGAAGTTCTAATATCCCCATATACATCAGGAGTCCGATGAACTTCATCATCTCCTCCGGCGTCACTTCCTTCCACGATCAGTCTTTCTCACTGTATGTCGACTTTTCAAGTATGTGGGTCCACGCATACTTGTTGGTGTTGAGACAGATTGCGCGGATCACCTCCGCCGTGAAGAAGAGGCGAAAAAAATTTAGTGCTCTCGTCAGCCGATGTGCGCGACTGCGGAGCGCCATGCTGAGGTCGATGCCCGGATCCCTCTGGGGTCGGAAGTCCACGCGTCTTTGTGCTGAAGGCAGCACATCGCCCCCATATGAAGTAGACACGCTAGAAATAATAATAACAATATGTGGGACACATACAGAGCAAGTCAGCCAGCTCCAGAACACGACAAACAAAACAGAAGGTGAAAACCAAACATACCCGCGACTAACAGCTGACGTTCCCGGCTGATCTGATGAAATTTCTTCATCGGAGCTAAAATCCGATGTTACCACATCGTTGTCTGATTCCTCACTACTCGAGGAACTCAAAAGATCGCTCGCCGAGGCGTCGGCATCGAGCGAAATCGCTTTTTTCCGAGCGCGCGTGGTTTCTGATGTTGACGCCATCGCGTGAATCACATGTGCTTCAACCTTTGAACGGGCGTGACCTTTAAAAATCACCGCCACGCGGTAAAAAAGCGAACCGTACAGAAAAAGCAAATCTAGTGTGTGTACTATCGCCTAGATGGTGCTACAAGTCCATAGGCACGGTGTTTTTTGAAAAATAGGGGCGCGAAATCATCGTGCACCAGTGAACGATGCCTAGTGGCGTGGTAAGGAAAGAGTTAATTAGCGCTGATTTTCCCCTTTGAAGTGTAAATGCCCCTTCACTCACTTTTGGAGTCGTATCGATTGTTATTTCAATGCCGACTTTCCACGCCTTTTATACATACATATTGTTTGAAAGGGAGTATGTAGGCTTGATCATCAGCCAGAGTATGTTGGTACAGTCGAGCCCACATATAACGGCCCCACTTAAAACGAACAATATGTGCGTGACCATGAAAATATACATTGGTTCAATGGCACAAAATCGCACTTACAATGAACCTCTCCAAGGGCCACTGATCGGTTACAGCGAACGGAGTCAGCGGTCTGCCGACTTCCCTGGAAAGAAATTTCGACCACAGATCAGGCATCGGCCAGGTGCCCATACATTCTTATTGTTAAACGCCGACCCTGCCTCCGTGACCCTATAGTTGCCGCTCTCCCCAACCCATGGAGGAAGGAAAGCTGGTTGCTTCCTCCATGCCCCGACTGCTTTTTGTTACACCCTTCGTGGTCTCGTGACGCTGTGCAGCTCTCTCATTGTGTTGCCCCGCCCTTGGACTGCTTCGACTGGATCCCCACTTTCCTATCTCCTTCTATTTTCCGTCGCTTGCCTCTCTATTTCTTACTATCTTTTACTATTATTTTTATCCCTCCTTTCCCCCACTCCTATAAGGCACTGCGCCGTGTCGTCACTCAGGCAGACAAAAATTAGGTGCCTTTTTTCCTTTTCCTTACAACCACAACCCCCCTCCATCCTTTGTCCCCCCCGCTACTCTGAGCACCCCGCACCGCCAGATGAGACCCGTGTTTTCACACTGCCACCGATCTTTCGAAGACCGGTCGGCCATCTACCTTGTTTTTGATCGCAAGTACTGTCGTTGGCGTCACCGGTGACCCACGACAGACCATACCGGCAAATGGTCTGGAGTGACCAGACCATTTGCCAACATCGTCATCCACTTTACTGTATCCGATCGTCTGCGTCTAGTGCACACGCGTATGGTACCCCACCATCTCTGATAAACTGCAATTTCGTTTCGTGTTTAGGACTTGTTCTCGCCCACTTCGCACTCAGCTCAGTATGCCTTTCGCGCGTGTCGGAAGCGCGAAAACGACTGTTAATTTGGGCGGAATGAATCGCGAAATATCAATGTTCGTGAGGCCATGCAAACCCTCCGGCGCAACAATACAATTTTTTGACCACGGCCGCTGATTCTTTGAACACCGCCACACGCACCGATCCAGGCGGTCGTGCTTTGACTTCTGCGCGTGCAGGCACTCTTTCAAGTTTTTCTACGAGCGAGTTTCGCGGACCTTTCAAGCAAGCTGCTCAACCTGCCTCCTTCTCGTGTGTTTTGGTTTTCAAGGTCGCCCTCCCGCCGCACCCTCTCTCTTTATCGCAACTCCTTGCCTTTCTCTTGCAAGTCTGCTCCCTTCTCTTGATCACGACCCTTTCGCCCGCCACACTGGCTCGAATTACTTTAATTTTCCAATTGGAAACAGGCCCAGAGCGGTTACACGCGCTCTGGCATGTGTGTCGCGTGTGCGCGTCTTGCTCACTCTTGATGTGCGTGTGTGGTCATGATGGCCGTCGGGAAAACTAGCACGCTTTTTCCTGGCGCTCAACAAAATGGTCGAAAGTGTGACCGCATGGTTTGGGTGTAATCCGCGCGTTAGGTGCCACGTTGCGGAGTCCTTGCTCATAGTTGTTCACCACCTGGCAGCCAACTTGCCGCTTCGGGAGTCCCGGTACTCAACTGTAGAGATGGTGAATATTTCGTGGGCAGTGGTGATGGCTACATGCTTGCGAAACTATTTTCGCGAGGCCGACTTCGTCCACGTCGGGCCCGATTCCGAGCCTGAAGCTTCTGAACAGGACCACTGCGGCGGCAATTTGTGGCAGAACGTCGTCGACTCCGACTTGGGAGAGCGGGTGGAGCATCTGTTGCGATGGTTTAATTGCGGCCGATGATGATGCCTGCACTGCGGAACAGTACACGGATTGGGGCATTGTGAACGAAGTATGTGGCGAGAGCGATTTAGAGGAATCGGATTGCGAGAACGACAAAAAAGATTTGGAGCCAGTGTCTCATGCAGCTTATGCCACGGGCCTCAGCGAACGAGCACCCTGCTGTTTTAAATGAACTCAAGACCGCACTTATCGCTTGTGCTCTTTGAAACACGTGCATCACGGACTTTTTGGGGCAAAAAAGTTTGTGTTGTCACTCGCAACTTTTTTCTAAAAGCTGTGTTTCATTTACTGCGAACTTTGGGATACGCTCAGGTTCGTTATAAGCGGGCTTGGCTCTATATAGTCCTTGCTAAACACTGCCCTAGGCGCTGTCACTGACCTGTATTCGCTTAACTACAGTGAGCTTGAAAGTAGCTTAAAATTAACGTTTATTTTGACTCCAACACTACCTTTCTACGTTATTAGGAGCACTGAACAAGTTTTTATGATGCAGTTATTTAACTGTAGTTACTGGCAGGCAAATCAGTTGCAATGCATTTATTAGAGGGCAGAATTAAGAATGGACCGACGACTTACTGGTGACAGAATAAGCTGCCAAAGAAAGCCAAATTTACTAAAAAAAATTAATTGCAGATAAATGGCGCGCCCAAAAACACATCGGTGGCAGGACGACGATCCGTTGGCGACGGCGGCGGCGTGAAAACTGTCAGCAGTGGCGCGCCGGCCTCTCGGCGCACACCTCTAGTATTAGTTGGTGGTGTGGTGCAAAACGAGTGATTTGGTCGGCAAAATTCAATTTTCAGGTGCAAACTTGTCCTAAAACTGGTCGTGAAAATGCATTAGGTCCGGAACCCCTGATGGTGCTTTTATGAAGTCCGAAATATCCAACTAATTCGTAGTATTGAAGTTTGAAAAATCAGTCGGCGACTTCACTTTGGCACTTTGACACTTTGGCAAAAGCAAGCGAACTTTAAGGGGGCACCATGGTCTTGAAAATTTTTTGTGAGTAAAAATGCTTGGCCAAAATACTCAATGGGGTATACGAAAAAGGTGCGATATTTATCGGCAGAATCTGTGATGGTCCAGCACCACATCTGGAATACCTGGCATAGAATGACCCAAATACATTCTACCATTTATTTTCATTGGTGACTCCCGAGATGTTTTTCTATGCAGTTCAAATGATTATGACATAGGGTTGTTGCCGTGTTCCCCCAGCTGCTGCGTGCCTTCACCGGCCGCTTCCTGCCCGACTTTGGCTTCTTGCGCGACTTTCTGGAGACCTGGGCAGCCAAGGGCCAGACGGTGGAGTGGAAGCGGGCGGCCTTCTTTCGCTTCGTTGAGGCCTTTGGGGATTCGGCTTTTCCGCAGCCGCTGCTGGCCAAGGTGCTGCAGCAGTTGCTCATTCCGTCCTTTGCGGCTTCCTTTGAGCGAGGCGAAGGGGAGGCCCTTATCGGAGGACCCCCACAGCCCGAGCGAGACTCTCCAGACAACGTCATCTCAGTTTTCATCAACCGTGTCATCGACCCTGAGAACCCATTTGGCACCTCGGATGCGGTGCGCATCCTGCTGCTCCAGTTCTCCTGCCTCCTGGTGGAGCAGGCCTCGCCACACATCCACGATGCGGCCAACAAGTGCGTTCTTCTCTTTCTTTATGTGCCTCTCATTACAAGAGTCTTGTTTGTCGAGCTTATGCTTCAGTTTGTACAGTATTTAACAGGGATGTGTGAATATTCCAGCTTTTGAATAGTTTTTTATTGCTACACCCAGCTTCAAGCTTAATGATATTTTTTTATCGCTACACACACAAGCACACAACCACAAATGAAGTGCATTGGTCACTTAAGCAGTTTCGGCCACAATTTGGTATGGATATGGGTTGGCAGATCGGTACAGTGCTGCATTAGAGGCAGCCAGCCAGTCGCATCCTCATTACCACCAAACAATGGCGCTCTCCTTTAAATTTGTGTACAAGCGGTGCAATGGTCGCACATTTGAAAGAAAGCATTGTCAATGTACGAAAAGTTGCATGGATGGCGATGTGCTTACTGAATCAGCTAACTCATTTTCAAGCCAAGCGCCGTTCAGCAAAATTTCGCTAAACACAAGCCCGTAAAATGGTTCTTTGGGGCGAGAACTCTGACGCATTGACTTCTATGGCAAGCTGAGGGGAAATTAGGCTTGTGCGAATAGTGAATTTCAGGGTTGAAGGGAATTCAAAACGAATAGTGATTTTAGTCGAGTAATTTATAATCAAATTCGAATAGTATATATATTGCCTAATTTGAAAAAAAAAAGGGGGCATATATGTCATGACCAAACTACCCTGCACATTATATTTTTTTATTAGTTAGGACAAGGCCTCTGCAAAGGCCATTTTTTTTGCATCAAAGGTAGTTGCAACAACTTTAAATAATAGCAGGATTTGACTTTCGGTACAGTCCTAGTGATAGCCAGTAAAATATGCGTTGCTTTAAAACTTGCTATACTTAGAGCATGAAGCAGTGTAACAAACTTTTGTACTGAAAATAAAATAAACAAAAAAACAGAAACCTTGAAGTGTGGTTTCGCGGCAGTGCAAATTTCTCATATGTTTTGACTGCTTAGCACCACCTTACTGCAGTAAAACCACATTTACATGAGCTGATCCGTTTGAGTAGGCGCTTTCGCGGCTTAGCAACCCTTCACTGCTGTGAAACCTTCTCTAGAAAGCGTTACAGGCAGATTAATATGCACTTATGTGTGTGTTTCGAATATTTCAAGGTTTTCAATAATTTAAATTTGATTCGAAGCGATTCAAATACTTCATTATTCGTTCGAAGCATTCGAATGTTCTCACAACTCTAGAAATCAGAAATACTTAACAGAAAGGTAAATTTTGTTAAAGCGCCGTTTCGTGTTAAAGCGGCGAATAGAACAGTCAACGTCCGATTCCCGGACTCTCAAGGAACCGCGGACACGTCCGGAAAATTGGACAGTCTGGAAAAATTAATGCAGGCGAAAACACATAGGTATTTTTCGCTGACGAAGAGGGTCGCGTCGCGGAGCAGTACAGGGTTCTCAATGCAATGCATCATTTAGGCAAATGCATCAGTTAGGCAGCTCTCAAAAGAGGGTAAAGTTAGAAAAAAAAAATTTTGATGTGGCCATGCATATATTGTAATAAGCGGCTCGCAGGCGGCAGTCCGCAGTTTCGCGCGAGGCCGTATCTCACGGGAAGCGGCGCACATCCTTCAAATGTGTGGAGATGGTGACTTGAGGTCGCGCTAACAACCCTGAATTCTATTGGTTTTCTTTCTTGGACCCCGGCACACACCAGCATTCCGCTTGCAGGGAACGAGGCGGCCCATGCCACGGATCGAGGTCTCACTCGCCGAGCCGCGGCCCACTTTGTGGCCGCCGCCTCCGACTCCGAGAGCGGGGCGATACATCTGCTGGATCAAGGCACTTTGATAGGCACGCAGCAACAAGATTCAGAATGGTCATGGGAAGATTGTCTGACAACGTTCCGTGACATCAACCAACACTATAGACTCCAAAGGCGTAGGTTCCCACCATCGTACGAGAATTCAAACCGGCACGATGCCGTAAGGTTTTGCTTACTCCAAACCCATTCCTACCCTAGCCCGGTCGTTCTACGCCACATGTACCCGAGCCTATACCCCACAGATATGTGTAAAGCGTGGGGGCACAGAGCAACGCGGAGCTACATGCTCTTGGAATGTGCCGGCGACGATAGTCGTGAAAACGCCACCAATTGTGATGTGGCTAAGTGGCCGTCAATACCAAATGACAGGGAGCTTCGAGGTCACTCGTTTCTGCCGCCGCCCCGGCTGCGGGAGCTGCGGGGGACTTTCTTCGTCGGCGTCACCGCTGTTGGGAGGTGGCCCTCCAAAGCGCAGAGCTGAACGACCAACTCTGGGCCGTCCGGCAGGCCCAGGATGCCGCCCGAGTCCAGGGACTTCGAGCCGCCACCTAAAGCCACCGAGACCCAATTGCGGGCCCATTGTGTTCAATAAAGTCTTTTCTCTCTCTCTCTCTCGTGTGGCCGGCGCTACCGCAATTGTAAACACTTGGGCGTAAAAGAAAAAAAAAAGGAAGTCGCCTATCTTTGCTCTTTATGACGTTCCACTAGCCTGACATGATGCCCGACTTAATTTCAGTTAACGTCGCGTCGTGGTACATCCATGACAGTGTCAGTGCTCGCTTCTACTTTCAGCTCATTGGCTGTGTAGGCGCTGCCTCTTTGATCTCTGTTTTATCCTCCATAACTTGACGAACAATTTCATCATCGGTTGATTCCCCAGACAGCTAAACGTCTTCGTCAGGGTCGACAAAGCCCTCAAATGTTATCCCAGCTGGAATCGAAACACTGGCAATGTGCAAACAGTTAAAAGCAGCATCCACACACACTGTCCACTCCGAATGAGACGGCCGCCTCGGCGTTCAGTGCGAAGCTCGCGTGGCGAATACAGTTCGGGGGGGTGGGGTCTGTTGCATAACCACCTTCCACGAGTCTGCAAGTATGCCAACGCAGACCAAAGGTCAACAGCGTAGCTTTCGGCACAGCTGGAACGCAAACTTCACAGCATCATGCGGCCTACGCTACAGCCAGAAGCTAGGACTGGCAATGTATTGGCTTGTGCTGGATTGCGTCGTTTTTGGTTCAGAAGGTACAGCAGCTGCGGCGCAGTGGGTTCGAGGGAACCAAAATGGTGGCGTTTATAGTGACATGAGTCTGCAGTTAGCGATGAAAAGTCCGGAAAATTAGATATGAAAGCTATAAATGTCCGGAATTTTAGACTTTTTAATACATTGACTCTATGGGGACTTGGCGCCACAGATGCGCCTGGGAAATCAGGCATGTGAGAATTTCGGCCGTCCGAGAAATCAGATGGTGACTGTACAGTACGCTCTCAAAGGGAATTGCTGCTTAGATAAAACGAATTCCCTTGATATGATTGGACCCAGTGTTTGTCTCTCGGTGACAAACACTGGGGCTGTGCCATGAGGCAAATAGAAATGAGTGGGGGCAGGCTCTTTACACAAAACGATAGAATGAATATTTCGATGTTGCAAAAAAGCAAAAAAAAAACACAATACACAAGCATGAAGGTGGCAACGGACAGGTGCCTGGGTGTTTTTTTTTTTTTTTTCAAACTTGACTGTGCATCAACTCGCCCAGTGGCATTTGTTCATTCTTCTTCTTTTTTCTTAGAGAATGTGTTTTCCTTGCCGGTGTATTTGTGGCTGCTGAAATCTGAGTGAAATGCACCTTTCTTTTTAGGCGACAAGGCATCAAGCTGCGCCGCCTGATGACCTTTGCATGGCCTTGCCTGTTGGGCAAGAACTGCGTTGACCCGGCCACTAAGTACCATGGCCATCTGCTGTTGGCCCACATTATTGCCAAGTTTGCAATCCACAAGCGCATTGTGTTGCAGGTAAGCGTCCTTGGCATGGCAGAAGATATTAATAGCACAGCCGTGAGACATGAATGGGAAGCATTCCATTCACTGAAGGAGAGAATGATTGATATGTGGGGTTTAACGTTCCAAAACCACCATATGATTATGAGAGTCACCGTAGTGGAGGGCTCCGGAAATTTCGACCACCTGGGGCTCTTTAACGTGCACCCAAATCTGAGCACACGGGCCTACGACATTTCCGCCTCCATCGGAAATGCAGCCGCCGCTGCCGAGATTCGATCCCGGGACCTGCAAGTCAGCAGCCGAGTACCTTAGCCACTAGACCACCGCAGCGGGGCAGGCACTGAAGGAGTGCCTTTAAAGAATGTTCAAAGAGAAAACCCCATTGTCGCTGTGCATGTTTCATGCAATGCCTGAGGTCATTAATTGTAAAGTGGGTTTTGGCTGCACTGTTCTTTTCACTTTCTGTGCTATAGACTTCGTGTGACTTATGATAAGGAAACTGCTGCCCACCATTTGAAGTGCTTATCTTACATGCTTCTCCAAGGGTCCCTCGGGGCAATGTTCACCTCTGCCAAAGAGCTTAGCGAAAGAAACTAGAGCTGCAGTCAGATCCGAGGCTTTATTGGCAAGGGTCAGGTTTAAGGGGGGAGGCGGCTTTGAAAAAAAACTTTTTTATTTGTTGACCTACAGCAATGAAATTTGGCATGCATACTCATAAGTGTCTAGAATAGGGAAATATGCAGTTTTATCATGATAGCTTCAGTAGTTCTCAAGTTACATAATGCTACACCATTCAATTACATGGTCTGCTCGTGGAAAGCCTAGCGCTGCAACAAAACATGCCAGGAAACTGCGAATGATGTTGATCTTCACTCAAAAGAAAGCTACAGGGTATGGCACTCTCGGAATTTTTTAGTAAGTTCTCGTTTTTTTTTTTAGGGATCATCATGGCTGCCGACACACATTGTCAGAAACAAGGGCACGGACAAATCGTCTAGAAAAATAACAGGGCCACAAAACAGAAATTGAAAATTGCTGTACCCACAAGCAGTGTTCAGGGATTCAGGGAAAAAAAACAGAATCAAAATCGGTCCAGTCATTCTCGTGCTACTCTTTCCACGAGCAATGCACAATGTCCAAAACACACTTGTGAAAAAAAGCCTGTCGAAGTTTTCGACAGACTTTTTTTCAATGAACTTTTTTGTTTCTTGTTGGATATTGATGAAAATTGGCACAGACACTAAGAATAACCTCACATTGCTTCCATAAAAATTTTGAAGTGATACCATGAATACTTTACGAGAAACAAATTATTTCTTCATTGAACCATGTGGAGGGGCTGAGCATAATGTCAAAAAAAAAAAAAAAAAACAGTATTGAGAAAGCTGCGTTTAAAGTTTCAACTTTTCTTCACGTCTCTAAGACACCTAAAAATTGTGATCTCAGGTTTGTCTTGTGATATTTGACTTCTTTTCATGATTTACTCCTTTTCATGAGTTACAAAGAACAAGTATGAATTTCAAACCAAGTTCTTTGTATGAAGGAGTGGTGTGATAGGTATGACAGAAAAGATTGTAATTGAATAAAACCATATACTGAAATTATTAAACATACTTTTTTGTGCTGAAGTTGTAATTAGCAAAATTAAGTACTTCATTACAAATATTCACTGAACTTTTTTTTATTTGGAGAGAAGTTTATTGCATCAGAAAAATGGATCACACCATGACAGCCTATGCCTTCTTTCTAAATAACAAAGTTATGGGCGGAAGACTGGTGGCACGGGAATTTCTAGCAGTATAATTAATGACACGAAACGGGCATATAAAAATTCGTGCCCCTGATTCACACATGCTCTTTCTCCTCTCTAGCCGTAAAACGTATCATCATCAGACAGCCGGTCGCAGAAACTCTAATCTACAGCAATTCATTAACCTCGGAACATTCTTAGACATTCCTGGCGATACCAAGCACGGCTCCAAGCACGTCTGAATCGCATCACAAAAGCTTACTGACGGCACTCCATATGACCGTGGGGTGCCCGGCCGCGTGGACAGTGCAGCCGGCGCGTAATGCACTTGCCGGCGGCGTTTGATGACGATGCGCGAAATGTGTAACTAGGAAGACAAAAAATCGGCACGCACTGCACTTTACATCGCATTTTCGAATGACGACGCGCGGAACTGCTAGCCGCTGTTCCGAGCGATCCTTGGCAGTGAGGGGGGGGGGGGGGGGGGGGGGGGCGACGAGCTTGACTGTGTTGTCCGCTGCCGATGCGTAAAATGCCCGTACAATATTCAGAGGAGCTAGCGAGTGATGTGGTACATTCCTTGCGAAGAAGCACGTCACCAAGAGTGCGCTTGCGCCTCGTTCCTGTCCGCAGTCTCGCTGTCAGCGGAGTTAGGCCTAAAGCCGACTCCGATGACGCGGCGCACTCGTAGACCGCCGCGCGCCCGCTCGTAGTAATCTGATCGTGCATCCGGTGCGGCCACTCGTAGTAATCAGATCGTGCCGCCGCTTACAGCTTCGTTGCTTGCGAAGAAGCACGTCGCCACGAGTGCGCTAGCGCGTCGTTCCTGCCCGCAGTCGGCGGAGTTAGGGCTAAAGACGACTTCAATGACGTGCGGCGCTCGTAGACCGCGCTGACGCTCATAGTAACCTGATCGCGCATCCGCTTACTGCTCGTAACTAAAGCGTAGTTATATCTTAAGTGATTATCAAGCCGTGAACACGTCACGAAGTGGCGATTTTCGAGAGCCATGTCCTCGCGACGCACAAGCAGCAGACGACGATCTCCCGGAGCGAGCATCGGGCCAATGGCGAGGCGAGCTGAGGCAACATGGCGGCCACGGCCAATCAAACGTTTGCTTTTTGCTCGCTTGTTAAAGGGAGGAGCCAGCTGAGGCGGGAAAGTTAAACACGGAGAAATGCTCTTTCCGATGAGTCCAAGAAGCCGGCTCCCGGCCCAGGCATAGCGAAGCTATTATTTTTTGAAAATCGCCGTTTTCTCGCCATTTCCAGAAAAATTTTTCCGAAGCACTTCTGCGCGGGTTTTAGTGTAAATATTTTGGAACCAGATAGAAAAAGGGTTCCAGAAACTGAAAACTTGAGTTTCAAAAAATCGATTTTTTTGCCATTTTTCGCGATCCCAAAGCCGGGTCCCCCCTTAAATGAGCTGCAAATAAAAAGAACATGAAGTCTATCCTCAGTATTCTTCGCGTATTTATAATACAGTTAAACCTGGATATAACGAAATTAATAAATTACTGAAAAAATTTGTTATAAAAAGGCTTTCGTTATATGCAGGTTTGGTACGAAAATTTGGAAAATAAACACGCAAAATAAACAAAAGGGGGACTAAAGGTAAAGCGAACCTCACACTTATTTTACAGTAAAAAACTGTGTTATTGTTGCGATAGCAATTATATGAACACTCTCTGCAGGTTCTTGCTGTCGCCGCTATGTTATGTAACAAGTCCAAATTGATAACATGCCCGCGCATGATAACTTTCACAAGCGGGTAAAAGCGCGCGAGCGCTGCTGAAGCAGAAATCACATGAGTTGGCCCATCCCTATTTCCTTGAAATTGCATTACATCTCTTGCGTGTTATAACTGCCATCAGAAAGCTCAAACAGAAAGTAAGCCACCCGTCTTAAATGAGCATAAAACAACGTAAGGAGGGGAGAGAGGGACCCCGCGAGTAGCAATAATGAACTTGGATTTTAAGTGTGGTCGCGATCTCTGGCCTGCTTGCTATCTCGGCGAGTATCAGTGTGGTTTCTACGCGAAGGGACTGTGTGAAAAGAGCAAACGCAATCATTCCGGTCAAAGTCGAAGGCTTGCGATTCTCCCACCCAAGGAAAAGCGCGTGCGCACAAGCGTCTAACCCCCCTCTCCCCCCTCCGCATTCGCAGGGCAAAGTACGTGTGGCAGGTAAGCGCCCGTCAGATTGTCGTGACAAGCTGAATGCCGAGCGCAGGCAGCTTTTTTTTCTTCCTTTCTTGAGTTTCCATATATATAGGTATGTATACATATACTATCATATTTATTTATTTAGATACCTTAAGGGCCTCTAGGGCATTACATAAGGGGGGTTTCATACAGTAATCAGTGACAACAGCAATTTTTTAACAAGAAAAGAAGACAAGAAAAGATGCGCAGGATACACAATCTGTCAATCAAAATAAGGAAGAAGTAACACAGCAAGATTTTCACTAGTGAGCACATTGAAAAAGCTGCAAGACACATTATACAGCAATACCTAAGATTGTCCAACACATTCAAGGAATGAAAATAATGCAGACTTAGAAAGACAATTGCTGTGTATGCGTTACAATGCTGGCAGGCAGAGCGTTCCACTCGCAGTGAAACTATGCACATGCCACGGCATCGAAAACAGAGCGAACGACACAGACACTACTACCGCGGAAACTATTCGGTAAGCGCCCTCCATATGCAGCACTGCCCCACATATTTTAACTAAAAGCGTGGCACTGCCAACGCAAAAGAAGTTTTTTTATAATTCTTTTTGTTTTGAATGGAGGGGAGGCACACACGCGGTAGCACAATTCTGCTCTGGTAGCACCGACATGCCGATTACAAAGCAGCGACTTTGTTCACCTGCCCTTCAAAACTGTGACGTACATCCATTTCCTGTGCTCATCAGCTGTGCCCAACAGTGACTATTGCGCTATGCCTCTCACTGACGTACTCAATTAGTTTTTGAGATATCCTAAAATTAATTATCTATTGCTTGCCAGTATAATAACACAAGAAATTTGTATTGCAGAGCTACTATTGGCACATGCCTCCGTACTAATGAACATAAGCTACACAACGGTAGGAGTGCTTTTTTGATTTGATAATTTTAGCAAGGTTTGTTGCACCTTGCATTTCAGTGTTGTAGACACACCCACTTTATGCTCCAATTTCTGGCAAAAATAAATTTTTTGAAGACCTCAATCAAAAATTAACGCCTACCATTATGTAAACTAAAGATACTGTGAGCGCT